CCCAGCCCGCTGCACGATGGCCGTGAGAAGGCCCTGGGCACGCCACGTTTCCCTCTGAAAGTGCTGTGAGCTGCAGCTGAAGCTTGCCAGCATCATGCGCTGAATTTTAAAGAATAGGGAGGAGGAGGAGGTATTTGGGGGGGGGGGGTGAAATAGAATAAAGGCCGGCTGAGCTCCTGGCAGGGGCTGCAGAGAAGGCACCGATAGGAGACTAAGCCACTGGGCTTTTGGGGATGTGTTGGCGATTCTAGCTGGCAACATCAAACCTTATGCTGGCATCAGGCCTGCCCCCTTGAACCCCTGAAGAGCTGGTGTCGTGTAAACACAGGGTGGGGTCTGCTTCCTCCACCCGGATGAACACCAGAGTGTTCTTGCTGTGCTAAGGTTTGGAGGATGCAGCACCTACGGTTTCCGCCATCTACAGAGAATTCAGACCACCAGGATTAGTTCAAAGGTCTGTAGGCCAGGGACAGCTAAGAACAAGGCCAGTGCCTAGCCTTACAGCTTCTGCTCAGACCACAAAGAAGAGAGCCCGCTTTAAGCACACCTTGGAAGCAACGCCACCCTGCTGCGCAGGGGAGGTGGCCCATTCAAGAGTTCCTATTTGATATGTCCATTGCACTGATGGCTTAACTGAGGCTCTGCTCATAAGTGAGCAACTCTGGTTAGTGATAGTGCTAAAATGTGTTCCTGAAGTCCTTGCAAAATCAGTCGAAAGAGGGCAGGGATGGTGTCTGCTACCTGTGTGCTCCCAGCCCCCAGCACAATGCCGGCACTCAGGGCACCCACACGAGAATGTTTGCATGTGCAAGTGCACAGAAAGGCCATCACGAATGCCTGCTTCCGGCTGGGCTTATCCTCTCTGGACTCTCTCGAAAGAATGCACATGAGGGCATTTGGCCTTATCCCCCTGCAGGAAGTGGATGGGTGTTTATCAAATAGCTTTCTTCAGAAGGAAGACAGAAGAGTCCCAAAGATCAAGGCGACAGGCGGTGTGATTTTATGGTCATGTTGGAGGAAACAGGTTTGAGCCATGACTTAGAGAAACAGGTGACTGTTGCTTTAATTTACACAACACAGTGTCATCAGACTCTGCCGGGCTGCAGGCTCTGTGCCCAGAGACACACCCCCAACCCCCCTGTTATGTCACTGGGCAGCCCCGCCAGGCGTCATGTAAATGTCACATTACCCTTGGCAGGACTCCTCCAACAGCGCATCGGAAACTTGGCTGCAGGAAGGCAGGAATGTCTGGCGTAGTCCCGGGCTCCCTCCCTGCCCGGGCCTGCTGACCCAAGTCCTGTGACCGTGGCCCAGAAGGAAGGGACCGGCATGGGCACAGACTGACGGATTCTGACCCAGAGGGACTGGGGCATCCCCAGGAAATGTATGGGCACAGTGTTTGCATTGGATGTCCTTACTCCTTGCTCTGGCCCTCGGCGTTTGGGGCACATGGGGACACCAGGCCATGCAGATGGCAACCATAGTTGCTGTCACCACAGGAAAGGGAAGCTGCAGACCTAGGAGGGGCAGTGATCTCCTGGGAGAAACAGAGCAATAGCAAAGCGATGGCAAAGCCGGGAGGGAATTGTAAGAGAAAGCTCTCCATGCTGTGTGTATGTGTGGTGGAATAGTATTCAGCCTTCAAAAGGAAGGAGATTCGGACAGGTGCTACCTTGTGGATGGTCCCTGAGGGCACTGTGCTGAGTGAGAGAATACAGTCATGAAGGGACAGATGGTGCCGGGTTTTACTCATATGAAGTCCCTAGAGTGACCAGATTCCCAGATACAGGAAGTAGAAGATGGTTGCCAGGGGTTGCAGGTAGGGAGAAATGAGTTATTTTTTATGAGGACGGAGTTTCAGTTTTGGAATATGAAATGGTTCTGGAGATGGTGGTGGTGGCGGCTGCACAGCAGTATGGTTAATGCCACTGAACTGTGCACTTAAAAATGGTCAGGATGGTCAATTTCAGGTTGTGTGCATTTTAACAAAATCAAAAATGTTTAAAAAGAGTGGACTGTTTGGATCAACAAATTAACTAACTCGGCGTCTTCGTCTGTTCAGACTGCCATAACTGTACCACAGGCTGGGTGGCTTATAAAGAACAGAAATTGGGCCGGGCACGGTGGCTCACGCCTGTAATCCCAGCACTTTGGGAGGCCGAGATGGGCGGATCACGAGGTCAGGAGATCGAGACCATCCTGGCTAACACGGTGAAACCCTGTCTCTATTCACCCTGTCTCTACTAAAAATACAAAAAATTAGCCGGGCGAGGTGGTGGGCGCCTGTAGTCTCAGCTACTCGGGAGGCTGAGGCAGGAGAATGGCATGAACCCGGGAGGCGGAGCTTGCAGTGAGCAGAGATAGCGCCACTGCACTCCAGTCTGGGTGACAGAGCGAGACTCCGTCTCAAAAAAAAAAAAAAAGAACAGAAATTGTGGCTGGGCACCGTGGCTCATGCCTGTAATCCCAACACTTTGGGAGGCCGAGGCAGGCAGATCACTTGAGGTCAGGAGTTCAAGACCAGACTGGCCAACATGGCAAAACCCTGTCTCTACAAAAAATAGAAAAAATTAGCTGGGTGTGGTGGCAAGCAACTATAATCCCAGCTACTCAGGAAGTTGAGGCAGGAGAATTGCTTGAACCTGGGGGTCACAGGTTGCAGTGAGCCAAGATCGCAGCCTGGGCAACAGAGTGAGACTCCGTCTCAAAACAAAAAAAGAATAGAAAGTTCTTTCTTACAGTTCTGGAGGCTGGAGTCCAAGACCAAGGTGCCAGTGGATTCTGTGTCTGCTGAGGACTCGCTTCAGCTCCTCCTGGCTGCGTCCTCACATGGTAGAAGGAGGAGGGGTCTCTCTGGGGTCCCTCTTGTAAGGGCATGGGGCTCTACCCTCCTCACCTCCCAAGGCCCGGCCTCCTAACACCATCACCTTGCGGGTAGAATTCAGCATAAGGACTTGGCAGGGACCCACACATTCAGACCGCAGCCTTCAGAAAGTTTTACTAACATATTTCTTGGGTATTCGTAAGTATTTTTATACTCAGTATATAGATTTCTTTAAAACACAACTTTTAAAGCTAAAAATAAAGCAAGCTCTCAAGGTGCGGCCATTGCATAGAACCCTCTTGTGGGCCTGGCGTGGCTGCTGATGGCCCGGGGAGGCGATGGGACTGGAGGAGGGACGAGTGGGGCATGGTCAGGCCTGCAAATGCCTCTCTGGGATGAGCAGCCTCCTGGTGAGGGCCTCGCCCTCTCACTTTTCCCTGGAACCCCTCGTGTGCCCCTCAGAGGGCCTTGGGTCTCCTTATGGCTGCCTTGGGCCTCCTGTGCTACGGGTCTTAGGCCTGCCCTGGGCAGCAGGACATCATCAGGCTTTCTGCCTGCTCGGACCTGTGCCAAGAGCCCCTGTAGAGAAGACTCATTGACTTGTCCACACCTTTCAAGGATATGCAGAGATACACCAGAGACGCCTGTCCTCAGGAGCGCTGGGTGACTGAGTCCGGTGGAAGGTGAGGGCGGGTGAGCCTCCAGCCAGGGCCTCACAGAGGAGGAATGGGATCTCCATTTCTGCTCCCAGCCTAACCTTTCAGCTCTCTCCTGCCCCCTCCCCTTTTCCCAACAGCAGGGGAAGGCGGGGCACAGGCTGTCTGAGCACAGCTGTCTCCAGGAGGGGAGGAGGTGCCAGGGTGACAGGCCCCAGGCTGCCTGAGCCTCTGAGACCTCACTCCTTCCCCCTTGCCCTCCCCCGCCCCCTGGTAGTGGCTCCATTCTGTCACCTTCAGGAGATGACCTTTGGGCCAGAGGGAGAGGGATTTCAGCTGCTATTTTTATGTGAGCAGGTCTTGGGCCCCAGGGCGGAGGCAAGGTTTCCACCATCACGCTGAGGCGTCTCCATCCCGAGTCCTGCCTGTCCCTCCTTTAAGGCCCAGGGGGAAAAGCATCTTTGCAGAGACGACCGTCCGAACTCATGTTAGAACCCTGTTTTAAAAGTCAGGACTATTTAGCTATAAGTTACATAGAGTAAAACTCACCCTTTAAAAAAAAAGTGCAGTTCTGAGAGTTTTGAGAAACGTCTGCGGTTGTGTAATCAGCACCACCGTCAAGACAAAACAATTCCAACACCCAAAGAAATTTCCACATCCTCTTTTATAGTCCATTTCTCCCCTCATCCTCAGCAAACACGGACTTTTTTTTCTGTCCGCTATAATTTTGCTTTTTCCAGAATGTTGTATAAATGGAAATATGTAGTATGTATATATTTGGACCTGGCTTCTTTCACTTAGAAAAATGCATTTGAGATTAATTCATTGTGTTGCATATATTAAGAGTTCTTTCCTTTTTATTACTGAGTAGTATTCTATTGTATAGATGCACCAGTTTTTTTGTTTTTCTTTTTTTGTTGTTGTTTTTTGAGACGATCTCAGTTTGTCACCCGGCTGTAGTGCAGTGGCACAGTCGTGGCTCACTGCAGCCTCGAACTCCCAGACTTAAGTAATCCTCCCACCTCAGCCTCCCAAGCAGCTGGGACAACAGGAATGTGCCACTGCACCCAGCCAACTTTTTTGTTTTTTGTAGAGATGGGGTCCCACTATGTTGCCTAGGCTGGTCTTGAACTCCTGGCCTCAAGCGATCCTCCTGCTTCCACCTCCCAAAGTGCTGTACCAGTTTATTAATTCACCCATTGAAGGATGTTTGAGTTGTCTCCAGTTTGGGGCAACTATGAATAAAGCCACTGAAAACATTTGCGTTCAGGATTTTGTGTGAACAAGGTTTCATATCTTCTAAGAGTGGCATGGCTAGGTTGTATGGTAAATGTATGTTTAACTACGGAAGAAACTGTCAAACCGTTTTCCAAAATGGCTATACTAGTTTGTATTTCCACCAGTGACATATGAGAGTTCCTGTTGTTCCAAATCCTTCTCAGCCTTAGTATTGTCAGGTTTTTGTAGCTGTTAGTTGGTCTAATAGTGATGTTTCATTGTAGTTTTAATTTATATATCCCTAAAGATTAATGATGGTGAACGTCATATCGTTATTTGTCATCTGTATGTCTTCTTTGCTGAAGTCTCTGTTTAAATCTTCTGTCTACTTTTTTTTTTTTTTTTACTGAGAATTTTTTTTTTTCTTGTTGCTGAGTTTTGACAGTTCTTTATATACTCTGCTACAGGTCCTTTATCATAGATGTGTTTTGCAATATGGTCAGCCTTCCATTATCTGCAGGTTTCACCTCCTCAGCTTCAACCAACCGCAGATCAAAAATATTCAGGGGAAATAATAATAAAAATAATAATACAACAATAAAAATACAGATGAAAAACCAGCACAGCATAATAATTATTTGCATGGCATTTCCGTTATATTGAGTATTATAAGTAATCCGGAGATAATTTAAAGCATACAGGAGGGTGTGTATAGGTCCTATGCACTCATTACACCATTTTCTATCGGGGACTTGAGCATCCTAGGCTTTGGTGCCCGAGAGGGGTTCTGGAATCAATTCCCTGCAGACACAGAGGGATAATTGTGTTTTCCCTCTGCCGTGTTTCTTGTTTCATTTTCCTAACGGTATATTTTAAAGAACTTAAGATTTAAAGTTAGATTTGTCTACTTGTTGAGCACTATGCATAAAGCAAGCTCCGCAAATCTTTCTTGAGCTGGGACAGTGCGCCAGGCCCTGTGGGATAGCGCTAAGTGAGACTCACGGCCATTCACGCTTAGTGGAAGGATTGAGATGCATCAAGAAACAACCGAGCACACCATCATTTGATAACGTTGGAATGTGCTAAGTGCATGAAAAGGAGGAATGATTCACTCTAGGAACCAGTGAGGGCTTCACAGACGATGAGCTTAGGTGACAATAGATGTGGAAGCTGTGGAGTGAATCAGAAGATAAGTGGAAAAAACCCGGCTCCCCTAAGCACCGTGTTCAGATATCATTTTTCAAGCACTGATTCTAGAAACCTGACACCAAAGAGAAAAATACATGGAGGCAACATGTATGATGTGGTACAACTGAATCCGGAACCCTGGCCCTGTTCTTCCCTCCCAGCCTCGCACCTTCCTAATGGCTGCTCCTCTCTTGGGTCCTTTGTGGAGTGTCCAGCCTGCCTTCTGCAGATTGACCAAGAATAACAAAGCAGGAATCTTCCAGGGAAGAGCGATGTGTAGAAAGGGGAGGCAGGGCGTCTTGGAAGTTTGTCAAGTAGATGAGGTATCTGGAAGCGGGCGGGGGGGCTTTCCAGACCCTCAGATTATGCAAACAGAGGGCTGAGTTCTCCCTCCGCAGCGAGCTCTCCCAGTGGTAGTGACTGTGCGTCAGACACAGGAAGTGTTAGGAATTCCCAGCTCACCAGCAAGAGGGCCCCCTTCCCACCTCCCTCGGGGTGAGTGGCTACCTCTCTATTAAAAACACTGGCAGCAATTCAGGTGTGATGCTGTCGTTTTCTATCACAGCCCTGAACTCCCAGAATTGTTGTTGTTCTCGAGGGGCAGAGATAAACCCTAGGTTTGAGATTCCAGATTGTCTTTGAAAGGATGCAGCCAATACATTTGTTTCCACCACGAGACGCTTAATTCCCTTTCATCTGCAGCTTTCCTTCCTCTTCTCTTCCTCCTCCATGGAGAATTGTACCGATTAATCACTGGAGGCAGACAACCCCTAGAGCTCACGATCCCTGCCTTCGTGATGTGAATGAGGAGAGCTCAGAGCTGGGAACGGCACCATGGAAACGAGCTCTGGGGCAGAGGCGGCAGTCTGGACACCGTCCCAGCCTCCCCAACCCGTCTCACTGGCACCTGACACCCAGAGGGCCTGCCGGGGTGGCGTCAGATGATGTGTTGAGTCAACAGAGCCCCAGGAGAGCCCTGGTTGGAGTCCCATGGCAGCCGGCTGCAGCCAGCACCCCAGGAAGGGAGTGTCTGCCACCGGCTGCAGCCGCCACCTGGCCTCCTGGGAGACCTGGCAGGAAGGGGGAACCACACTCACAGATGGTCTCCCCATCCCAGCCTCTGCCGCCTTCTCCTGCTTTGCTGAACGTGGCTCTCCTAAGTGGAGGTTTGCGAATGTGCTTCTGTGGCCCACAGCCCATCGTACCAGGTGGAACAATGCATTCTTGTCTCCCCTGAGAGCTGTACACCTGAAAATGGCCTAGGATACACTTCCAGGAGGGGACGGTGGCTCAAAGTCCTCCCTGCCTCACCCACAGCCCTTCTCACCTGTGCCTCATCCAGAGCAGTGAGCCTGGGTGATCTGAGGGGCCCCCCAGGGTGAGGATAAACAGCTCAGGAATGGGACCGTTGCGGGGGGCCACTGGAGCCCCCCAGGAGGGGATCTGTTCATGAGCAGTGAGCCGCCGCCACCAAGGGTTCAGAGCAGACTAAAAGAGCTGAATTGTAGAAAGCACGGGAAAAAACTCCAGGTGCTATTACAGATTTTAAAAAGTATTATGCTCTAGAAGCTTTAGTGTGACAGGGTCCCAGCAAGGCGTGATCTTGATTTGGTTATCACACTGATTTTCCACTTCATTTTCAGCCACATTTTCTCCTGTTCAGGGTTCCTCAGAGACTTCTGAGTTTGGAGGTTCATGGTGCAAAATAGGCATAGCTCCTCTCAGACGCTGGAACGGGGAGGCAGGCCACCCTGGAGGAGACGGGAATCACGAAAACGTTTTCAGACCCCTCGGAATACAGATTCCTAAAACCTGACTTTTGGGGAGTTAGAAGTGCCCCGAAGTGATTTGAGAGACAGAGAAATCTGTACCCACGCTTCATTTATCAGTTTCATCAGATGATCAAAGTGTCCTGGGATTCAAGAAAGTTGAAGAACTACTTCTTCCTCAGTTTTAGGAAGTTTCCTCAAGAGCTAGAATAATAAACAATTTGTCAACAACCAGAAATTTCAAGAGGGACTGGAAACAGTCCGAAGCAAGCAGTGTCCAAATCCCAGGCACAGTGCGGGAGCCCGCTGCGGAGTTCCCTGGCCAGCACAGGGCAAGGGACGTTGCAGGTGAAAGTTCTGATGATGGGGGCCTCCCTGGAAGAGGCATGCTTCCAGGGCCTTGCAGCCACTGGACCCTCCCCACACCCCATCTCATCGGGGTAAATTCCAAGTTTACCCTCACATCATATCTGCTGTTTTACATCATAGCGATACCCGTGTATACTGGCTTTACCAGAACAGTTGGCATGAACAGGCATCTCAAAGAGATCAAGGTTAGAATGACCTTTCTGAAATCTTGAACTCTAGTCCTGATCTAAGAACCTGTTCAGGCAGGACGGGCCACCAGGGGGGCTCCTGCCCAGGAATATTCTGGCCCCATCCTGCAGCCAGTGCCAGGAAGCCTTTCCCCTGCTCACTGGGCACCTTGGCATCAGCTGAGAGTGTGAAAGTCCCCCAGGTCTCTTACTGAATTGGTGTCCTTCCTTATTTCCTTCTAGGAGATGAGAGTCACCATGCTGACTCAGCAAGGACCCCAGGGATGGCCTCATTTCCTCCTCCTCCTCCCTCCCCTTCCAAATCCAAAGTGCCAAGTTTTGGCCTTGCACTACCCACTCCACCCTGTACACCCTTGGCACCTGGCCAGGCGAGCCTCGCTGGGGAGGAGGGCGGACACAGAGAGGCAGCCCAAGGCAGACACACCTCTGACCTTAGGCACCCACCTCGCCTGGTGCGACCGACCGACCGTGGGCTTCTTCCTGTTGCCCACACAAACGGTCTTCTCCCCAACATTCCGCAGGGATGAGGTCACCATCGGAAACCTCCTGGAATGGAGCAAGCACCCTGGGCTGCGGCCTGAAGACCTGAGTCATGGCCACAGACCTGCTTCTGGGCTGGGGGGTAGATCCTCAGCTTCACACTGCACCTCTCAGAGCCTGCACTTCCTCCACCGAAAATGAGGTTCTGAGACCTTTGTCCCCCAAGGTCATGCCCATTCTTGCCACCTATGATTCTCGTGCTGGGGCCCGTCCCAGTTCTGTCACATTCAGCAGGGTTCATCTCCACAGCACCAAACAATACCTGTTGCTTTTGTGATTCCACAAATACTGATACTTAGAGGGACTGAGGCTGCTAACATTTCCCTTTCATTGACAAATCCTTAGCGAATTGTTTTTCCGAAACCGCTGTGTACAGGAAAAGTTCTGTTGCAGAGTTTCCCTCTCTCACAAAGCAGCAGAGGGGCCTCCCCTGGGCCTCCCCAGGACTGCTTTCTAGTGGCAACATCAAGACGCACATCTGCTGTTGTCTTTTGCTCAAGCGAAGTATCTAGGGTTACGTTTTGGGTCCATGATGTAGAACTCTGACCTCCAGGCAAGCATGAAGAAGGAACAGGGCAGACAGCAGAGGCTGGGACCACACTGTCAGAGTGGGGACGGATCTAAAATTAGCCCCTGTGAGATTCTCGTTTCCTTCCCCTCCACCACCATTTCTGTTTTGTTTTGTTAGTTCCCGTGGAAATACCCACATGCTAGAGCCAACTATTTAATAACTAGGTGCAGAATGTTATTGGGTATACAAAGTCCTATAAAACTGGATATTTTCTGGATTTCTTTTAGGAGAATAAGAACCTTGGAAAAATTCCTAAAAGTTTTTTTTTTAAATAGAAATAAGTTTTCACCTTCCACATTACCATGATGCTTTGACTCCAAGATCACTCAGATATTTTCCAACATATTTTGAATAGTTTCAATGACGAAAGATCATAAAACAGATTCTTAGAGCCTAGAACCGAAATCTGCAGCCTGAAACCTTACTCCAGATTAAAATACAAATTGAGAGTGGGCTCGGCCAGGGCCATTCAGCTATAAAGGGGCCAGAGTCCAGAGACTCCCGCTGAGAGAGGAGATCCTGAAGGGCAGGGCTGGAGTGGGGTGGGGAGGACACTAGGCGGGTGTGAAACTTGTCTTTTAGGAACATTCAGAGCAAGATCTCAAAGCAGCTGGCTGGAAAGGAGCAGCAGAGCTCAGGAGAGCTGGCCTGGCCGGCGGCTGCACACACACCTGGTGCCCGGGGACGAGGCATCATTCCAGGGCGTTTCTGCATGAAGCTGGCCTTGGCTGCAGGGAGAGACCAAGCAGGGGGCTGGGGACTCGGAAGGAAGGGAATTTGCTCTTCCATAGAAGGGAGCCGTGAGACAGAGGACGGAGGCACTGGCACCGCATGACCATAAACAATGGGAACTAAAAATTAGTGTAGAAGTTTCCTGTCTATGAAATAGGGAGTTGGATTCAGTGAACGGTTCCAAAATGTGTCTGACCACCCGCATCCCTTGGGGAATGTCAGACAGCACATCCCCAGGCTCCTCCTGGCCCCATCGCTCAGGATCTTCAGGCCTATGGGCACATGTGTTCTTAATGCTCCCGGGTGACTGTCGGCCCAGCCAGGTTTGGGAAGTGCGGCCTGAGAAGCATCCCAACTGTCCCTGTGGCTCAGATGCTCTACTCAGCATGTCGGGTTAGACTCGGTGGGGACAGGGCCTGGGGACTGCCCAGACAAAGGTTTAGAGCAAAACCATCCCACAGGGAATGAGGGCACTAAAAGATACACAAACCTAGCATCTTCGATTAAGCCAGCTGTTGAAGACATTTGCAAAAAGTGAAAATGCCACCCCTTTTATGTTTCGTTGTTTTTTTTTTTTTTTTTTTTTGAGACGGAGTCTTGCTCTGTCACCCAGGCTGGAGTGCAGTGGCCGGATCTCAGCTCACTGCAAGCTCTGCCTCCCGGGTTCACGCCATTCTCTTGCCTCAGCCTCCCAAGTAGCTGGGACTACAGGCACCCGCCACCACACCCTGCTAGTTTTTTGTATTTTTTAGTAGAGACAGGGTTTCATCGTGTTGGCCAGGATGGTCTTAATCTCCTGACCTCGTGATCCACCCGTCTCGGCCTCCCAAAGTGCTGGGATTACAGGCTTGAGCCACCGCACCTGGCTGTTTCGTTTTAAAAACTATAGACTGGTGAGAAGTTACTTTTAAAAAAATGAGGATCCCAAACAGCTTTTGTTTCTGTGGGTCGTATGAATCAATATTCACCGTATTATAATTTTTTTTTTTTTTTTTTTTTTTTTTTAGAGACAGGGTCTTTCTGTCACCCAAATTGGAGTCCAGTGGTGCAGTCATGGCTCATTATAGCCTCAGCCTCTCAGACTTAAGCAGTCCTCCCTCCTCAGCCTCCTGAGTAGCTGGGGCCAAGGGCACATGCCACCATGCCCAGCTAATTTTTTATTTTTTTGCAGAAATGGGGGTCTCACTTTGTTGCCTAGGCTGATCTTGAACTCCTGGGATCCCAGCTCCTCCCTTCTCGGCCTCCCAAAATGTTGGGATTACAAGCTTAAGCCACCAAACCCGGCCTATGTTAGAAATTAAAACTGAGAAAATTTCAAACATTAATTCGTTTATAAATGACAACCATAAACATCTTATATGTTAACCTATTTTTCAAGAGCGTAAAGGGGTGCCTAAGCTGAAGTGTTTGTCTACCGCAGCGGTTCTCAAAGAGAAGCTGAGCATGGGGTAGGGGTGTTGGTGGCGCGGCCCTGAGGACAGGCTACTTTCAGAGAAGTGCTGGGCAGTTGGGGCGGTAGGAAGTAGGATAGTTCAGGTTGAATGGATCACTCTGGAATGCATCCACCAACACAGAGGGTGGAGAATGGTAGAATGGTCTTGAAGATGACCTCGCCACACCCACCTTGGGCTCGGGGGAAAGAGAAGAAATGGCTGAAGGCCCAGGAAGGCCTGCTGTGTGTAGGGTATTCCTGCCTCTGTGCAAACGGGACAGCAGCCTGCAGTGGGTTACAGAGGAAGTGGACTCCTGGGCCTAAGTGGTACTGTGATGTGATACCTAACGCCACCCCGGGCCAGGCGCTGTTCAGCGAACTGACGTGTGGCACCTGGAGCTTATCTTGGTGGTGTCCAGCTTTTTCAAATTTCTTGCATCTCCAGGTGATGAGAAACCAGGGACTGGCCTCCAAGCCCTCAGAAACAGCTTTCAGAGTGTATCATGGCCGACTGTGGCTGGGGGCGCTGGGATGGCTATGGCCAGAACTGCCTGAAGGAGACCTCAACTTGTCAGAGAGGGCTCGACTGGGATTTCTCACCTCCACACTGCGCCTGTGTGGAGGGGCCACAGGGTGGAGTCGGCCAGGGGTGAGCTACAGCTTGAACTTCAGGTGTGTTACCCTCCTGTCCCCCAGGCCAGGCAGAAGCTAGAGCCAGCTCTGAGCATCCGACAAGCAGGGTCTTCTCCCAGAGACATCACCTGCTATCAATGGCAGCTGCCCATACTGAATTATGGGCCCTATCGTTCATTGTCCCAGGGTGCTTTGCTTGTTACCTCTTACTCATCACACAAATCCCAAGGGCAGCTCATATGTTCAAAGAATGAACCAAACCTCTGAGCTGACGACTCTGAGGCCACATCGCTGGCAAGTGGTGACTTAGGGTCCAGCCCAGGTTTCTGGCCCCAGAGCTCAGCTCCTTCCACAGTGCTGGTCAGTCCTTATCCTGGTTTGGGAGTGGAGGCTGGAAACTGTATCACTGGGGGCAGGAAACAAGGGTATGCAGCTGGAGTTCTGAAGGGGCTTTTCCCAGGGGTGTGGGCAGGGTTTCAGGAGTCATTACCGCCCAGGCCTGGAGGGACCAGGGGAAGAGGAGTCGCTGGAGGCAAGGCAGGCAGGAGGGGGCAGCTGGGGCCCTGAGAATACTGCCCCTCTCTTCCCTGGCTCCCCGAGGCTCCTGCAGGTGCCTGCACTGCCCAGAGCCATTCTGGAGTGAGAGGGCCCAGCACTCAGCTCCAGCGGCCCTGGAGGTAGGGCTCTGGAATGAGGGGTAGGAGAAGGTAAAACCTGCGGGAGATGGGGGCCATGCAGGGAGAAGGTGCAGGAGCCAGGCCGGAGGGCACTTGAGAAAGGGCCAAAACACTAAAGCAGTGGATTTGCTCCTGGAGAAAAGAGAGTCCTAAGCAGACATCAGAGGCTGGGTTCTGGGTCACCTGCCTGGCCTGAACTTGCGCCGCCCAGGGTCTCCGCCTGCCTGCTGGTCGCATCGCTCTGTGTGCTACAGCTACTCAGCACAGGTACTCCTGTCCCTCTCTGGCTGTGACACTTCCGCTGGGCACCTCCCTGGGCCACTGTTCCCCCTCACGATGCTCGCCATCCTCCCTCCAAAGTAGAGAACGACACCCGGCTCCTCATCTCTGATGAGTGGAGGGAGATTTCAAAACCCTGTATAAGCAAAGCCTCCCTCCAGTGTCAATGGAAAGGTTGCTCTTCTCACTTTGCCTCTTGAAACAACAGTCAGCAGAATACATTATTTCCTTCTTGTCATTCCAGACCTCATGCATGTAAAAGGCAAGAATGAGGCTCCAGCTCATTCCATGTATGCAGTGCAGGGGCCGGATTGCACCAGATAGGCATCTGGTCTACCTGGTTTATTTTTACCAAGGCAAGGGGTGGATTTGTCCCAGAGCCCATGGCTACTTAGTGGTAAAACCAGGTCTAGAGCTTGGGGCTTCTGAGGGCCAGGCCTCCATTTCCACCCCGCACAGCTGTTCCACGGCCAGCAGGGCTCAGTTCCCTTCGGTGGCACCTCTGTTCTCCTCCTCCTCTCCAGCGCCTGCCAGCAGGGCCAGGCCCTGTGAAGTCACCAGCCCACGGCTCCCCAGTGTCTGGAGCCCCTTTCGTGGTGTTCTGTGTGGCTGCCAGGAGCGGTTTCTTTCCCCTCACTGGGCCTGTTCACTGGGCCTGGCTACCGCCCTGGGAGAATCAAAGGCATTGTTCACCGCAGAGGCTGGCGGTGTCCTAAACAAAGCCCTTAAGGAGCAGGAAAAAGGAGGAGATGTCTTCTCGGAAGGAACAGAAAGGGGGCAGCTGTCTGTCATTTGGCCAGAGCCTTCTTGGGTGACAGTTGCCATGGCCCAGTCCTGCCTGGGGCCTTAGGAGAGGCCTCTGGGCTGGGGCAGATCTGTGTCCTCCTCCACCATCGGGGCCCAGCTCTTTCCTGGGGTTTCTGAGCCACCTTCCCACCCACACCCTCAGGCTCTCTCCTCTTCCCTGAGCTCCCCCTGCTTTCTTGGTTCTCAGCTTTATTGCACGGTGGTGGTGGGGTTGCTTTTTTGTTTTCATCCCCATTTCCCCTGCCCCAGACTACAGGGACTTGCTCTAATCCATCTTCGCACCCCCTTCCTCAACACCCCCAGCATGCTTGGCCCACGGCAGCTGTCCAGGAGCTGTTCATTTCCTGATCAGACCCAAGGTTGAGTTCCCCAGTTGACCCTATGATTGAGAAATAAATTGGTCTATTTAAAAGTGATGGAGGGCCAGGCATGGCGGTTCACACCTATATTCCCAGCACTTTGGGGGGCTGAGGCAGGAGGCGACTTGATACCAGGAGTTCAAGACCAACCTGGGCAACATAGTGAGACCCCCATCTCTACAAAAATAAGAAATAAAAAACTTAGCTGGTGTAATAGTATTTGCCTGGAGTCCCGGCTACTCAGGAGGCTGAGGTGGCACCTCTTCTTTCCCTGTGCAGTCACCCAGTGTCATCCAAGCTCTTCTTCCTGTTGGCCGGTGAAGCGCCACTTCTGGGAGAGTAACTCTTACAGCTGAAATGTAATTTTAAGTCTTCATGTTCTTTCTCTTGGTGATACCCCAGTTTGATTGTGGCAGAAAGTGTCTGGGTTTTACAGTCAGGACAGTGGAGCTGAGGTGTGGCCCCTGCCGTGTATTCGCTAAAGGACTGTGGATAAGTAACTGAACTTTCTCCAGCCACCAGTTTCTTCATCTGTGAGGGGCAGATGGAGCCAGGGTGTGTAAGCCCTCTGTAAACAGGGTGGCATTGTGCAAAAAAATAAAAAAATAAAAAAGCATTGATGCTGCAAGACTCTACCCCGTCTTAAAAACATTTCAGATATCAGTCAACAGATAGGGCGTATGTTTGGTTCCAGGAAGATTCACTCCCTGTGCCCCCAAACTACATACACATCCCTAATGCACACACTGTGAGTCTTAGCATTTCACCTGTCTGTTCCCCTAAAAGCTTGCCTTCCCCCTCTGTGGTCCAGAGTGTCACCTGTTTTCCCCACAGGAGTCACCAGCTCTGGAAGGAACAGGAAGGAGCAGGAAGGCCAGGTGGAAAGATGGGAGCAGCTTCTGAACTTGGAAAGATTGTAATAATAGAGGATCATTCAGCCCCACCAGAAATGAGGTGTTCCCACCCCCAGATGAACAGTCTGCCTTCTCCTTGCCCCCAGAGGTTCACTCCTGCATCACGCCACCTCTCTCACCTCCGTTGGGACTGGGTTAGGATCATTCCAGTACTCACACGGGGGCTGTCTGCAAGGGGACAGGGCCACAGGAGGAGCAGACGCCATGGTTTATGCTCTTAAGAGCCCTCAGCGGCGGGCAGGGGGATAGGTCACAGTTCCATTCTCTTTAAACTATTTATTCGAAAGATGAACATTCTGTACCCAAAGAACTAGCAAGGAGTTTTCATGGTCTGTGAATATCCCTTGCACAACAGTGACTAAGTTTCATCCCTGAAGAATGTTGGAAGTGGAAACGCTTCTCAAAGAGAGAGAGCAAGGGAGAGGGGAGCTCAGGAAGGCACAGCCATGGACCTGGTTCTAGCGGGAGACAGGACAGAGGTCCTGGTCCTGGTCCTCGTGGGAGACACCCCTGCACAGAGCTGGGGGCCGCGTTGGGGCAGTCAGGGCAGGAGGCAGGTCAGTGCTTAAATACGGCCTTCGCCAGCCTCTTGGCTGAAAAGCAAAACAGTGGCTGAAAAGAAGTCATTTTCTGAATGGATAATCCATTCCCATGATAGAAAGTTGGAAAAATCAAAAAGGGGATATGATGAAAGCCCTCCCTGCCAGTTGTTCCCTTCCCTGGAGACAGCCAGCGCTTCCAGATCCTGCCAGAGATAGTCTAGGCAAAATCAGACAGGCAGAATATAGATATTCTCTTTCCTTTTTTTGAAACTACAAATGGTATCATTTGATACAGATGGCTCTGCAGTTGGCTTTCTTCACTTACCGCTGCATCCTGGAGATGAAAGGAACGAGGATCCCTGTCATGTTCCGACAGGGGTGGCGGCTGCCCGTGCCTACAGTGGGCCGTGATTTATCTCACCTCTCCTTGAGGAGCCTCTGCGTCTCCAGGCTCTGCTTTTAAAAGCACCATGGTAATGAATCAGCTGTACACTCAACGCTTAGCAATTACACAAATAAGTCTATGGAAGAAAGCCCCAGAAATGGAATTACTGGGTCCAGGAACATGGGCACTTGTGGTTTTGATAGGTGTTGCCAAGATAGGTACCGCAGAGTACCTGTTTCCTCTGGGCCTTTGCCCAGTGCCTGCATGGGTGCTGTTTGGGCTCATTTTGTTGTGTTGTGTTGTGTTTTGTGAGACAGGGTCTTGCTGTGTCACCCAGGCTGGGGTGCAGTGGTGCTATCCTAGCTCACTGCAGCCTTGAACTCCTGGGCTCAAGTGATCCTGTCGTGTAACTGAGACTGCAGGCATATGTCGCCACATCTGGCCAATTTTGTTTTTAATAGAGACAGTCTTGCCATGTTGCCCTAGATGGTCTCAAACTCCTGGGCTCAAGCGATCCTTCTCCCTCAGTCCCCCAAAGTGCTGGGACTGCAGACATGAGCCACCGCACCTGGCCAGGGCTAGTTTTGATCATGCCCTGCTCAGGGACGGACATAGGTCCTTTTCAGCATTGTCCATGGAGGAGGAGTTAGAGCTCTCTGTGGCTGGCCCCTTCCTTTACACACCAAGACCCCAGCCCCCCAGAGGGGTTTGCCTACCAGGCTGTCGCAGGTCATGAGGACGTGGGGGGTGGCGCAGGGTTTTGAACCTAAAATGCCCCCCACTACATCCTGTTCAGCTCTGCCCCATCAGGTCCCCACACATGCCTACGGGAAACGGGGGCACAGCCCTTGGGAAGCGTCACCGAAGGGGCCCTGTGTCCAGTGGGGGAAGGGGCTGGGAGAGGAGGATGAGAACATTCCCTCTTGACTCTCGGGAGAGGAAATAGCCTGTCCTAGGTGCATTGTGGGACCCGGACAGGCCCCTGCTGGGGACTCTGTCGCTGCAGGAACCACTGAAGGACGTGGCTGTGGAGTCTAAGGCCCCAGGCAGTGCCCCACACTACACCCAAAACAGCACACAAGGTGTCCTTGCTCTGCCCCTGCAGATTCCCCTGAGAGGCCCCAGGCAGGCCTCCCCAAGCCCCGGCTACTGTCTCCATTTTTCAGTGCCAAGCAGCTGGAGCCTGGCCCTGAGAAGGGTCCGGATGGTCCAGCAGCCCCTTCGTGGTCCTGCCTGCTGACATACCCCCATCTCTGAAGAGCTGCTAAACCACATCAGGACCTTCCCACTCTTCCTCTTCCCTCTCCTTCCTTCCTGCCCCACCTCAAAGCAGGGCTTTCTTCTCAAGACATTTTGGGAAAAAGACTCTTTTTTCTTTTCCTTTTTCTTTTTCTTTTTTTTTTTTTTTTTGAGACAGAGTCTCACTCTGTCACCCAGGCTGGAATGGAATGCAGTGGCGCAATCTCGGCTCACTGCAACTTCCGCTTCCTGGGTTCAAGCGATTCTCCTGCCTCAGCCTCTGGAGTGGCTGAGACTACAGTCACGCGCCACAATGCCTGCCTAATATTTGTAGTTTTAGTAGAGATTGGGGTTTTGCCATGTTGGTCAGGCTGGTCTTGAACTCCTAACCTCAGGTGATCCACCCGCCTCAGCCTCCCAAATGCTGAGATTATAGGCATGAGCCACTGCACCTGGCCTCTGTTTTTCAAAAGAGTTTGGGGCTTTGTTGTGAGGGCCTTTTACATTTTAAGTTTCGGGTCCTAACCATCTCCTGCTTCCACCCAGAGCTGCCTCCTGAGTGCCAGCCCAGGGCTTCCAGAGAGCTTTCCACTCACACTGCTCAGTCTCCTGACGGGACTCCCTGGAAAAGGGGGCTCCTTCTCTAATAGGTAACTCCCTAAACCTCCCCCCGACACACAAACAAAACATGCGCCCCGCTCTCCACAGAGGGAGAGCAGATCACCCTGACCGGAGCCGGCCCTCTCACTGTTCTTTCTGTTCCTTGCCTGGTGGCAGCAGGCATTTGCCAGACCCCTTGGCTCAGGACAGCCCTGGGTGCCATGGGGCCCAGAGAGCGTGGCAGGACCCCCGTCCCCAAGACAGACGGTGGATCTTGGTGGGGAGAGGGAACTTACATACTTTTATGTTTGGTTTGAACGTTAAACAGTTTGTCATTAAGTGGTAACATACAGGACAGTGAAAAGGCTTTGTGAGTTTGGTGACACGAGGGACAGGAGGACAGGTCCTTCCCCATGAGGATGGAGCAGGAGGGGCACAAGTGGGTCTGGAAGCTGTGAGGAGGAGGAACCCAGCAGAGGTGCCTGGGGAGGGCGAACCAGGCCTGCGGCTCTATAGGTGACCCAGCCTCGTCCAGATAGAAGCAGTGACTGGTGGCTCTTGGGCCTGATAAAAGGAAAACTTCTGCCGAATTACATTTAAAGGAGTTTAATTGAGCAATGAACGATTTGCAAATCGAGCAGCTTTCTGAGCCAGAGGAGACTCAGAGACCCCAGCTCAGCCATGTGGTGGAAGAAGATTTATGGACAGAAAAAGGGAAGTGACCACAGAAAACGGGAGTAAGGCACAGAAACAGCTGGATTGGTTACAGCTCAGCATCTGTCTTATTTGAACACAGTTGGAGCAGTTGGCTACATGTGATTGCCAAAACTCAGTGACTGGCACACGTGTAGGCTACCGTCTGTTTACACCTCCACCTGTTACAGTTCACAATGTACAGAAAACCCTTTGGGCCAAACTTAAAATATGTATGGAGTCAGCTCCAGGCTAAATGTCATCTAACAGGCCATGTCCCCTGGCATCTTTGGTTTGACTTGCGTAATTCAAAATTTATTTTAAAATTTTTTCTACCTGTAAGATGTAAGATATCAGACGATGAGTGCGGCGGCTCATGCCTGCAATCCCAGCACTTTGGGAGGCCGAGGCAGGCGGATCACTTGAGGTCAGGGGTTCAAGAGCAGCCTGCTCAACATGGTCAAACCCCAGGTCTACTAAAAATATTTTTAAAAAATTAGCCAGGCCTGGTGGCAGGTGCCTGTGATCCCAGCTATGCGGGATGCTGAGGCAGGAGAATCACTTGAACCCGGGAGGCAGAGGTTGCAGTGAGCTGAGATCACACCACTGCACTCCAGCCTAGGAGACAAGAGTGAAAACTCTGTCTCCAAAAAAAAAAAAAAAAAAAAAAAAAGATTTGCAATATCAGACCCAAAGCCAGATTCTGCTTCTCTGAGAACACAATCCATGATTGTACCAGTCTCCTCAGGCTGTTATAACAAAGTACCACCTACTGAGTGGCTTAAAACAACTAAAATGTAGCCCCGTCCTGAAGGCCAGAAGTTCAAAATCAAGGTGTTGGCAGCACCACGCTCCCTCCGAAACTTGTAGGGGAGGATTCTTCTTTGCCTTGCCCTGGCTTCTGGGGTTGCCAGCAATCCCTAGCGCGCCTTGGCTGCCACGGCGTTGCTCCGATCTCTGCCTCTGCCAGCACGAGGCCCTCCCTCTGTGTATCAGTTTCTGTGTCTCTTCTCTTCTTGTAAGGACACAGTCATGTTGCATTAGGGCCCACCCTAGTCCAGCAAAATCTCGTCTGGACTTGGTTGATCTGAAAAGACCCTGTTTCCAAATAGGGTCACATTCACAGTTCACGTTCTGCCTGTGCGATGTGCCATGATTTATTTAACCTCCTCTTGACGGGCCTCTGCATCTCCAGCTCTGCTTTCAAAAGCACCATGGTAATGAATAAGGCATACACTCGCCACTTAGCAATGACATAAATAAGTCCATAGAAGAAATAGACTTGTTTCTATCAGTTAGAAATAAGTTGAAGTGGACAACGTTTAGCTCCCAGAAGATTCATGTCTCCAGTCTTCCTTCAGGCCTCCACTAGCACCATTGCCCCTCCCAGTATTTGCTCCCTCCCTTTTCCTGACCATCTAAATCTGTTTCACTTTTTAGACCCCATCCCAGTCCCACCCTTTCCCTGAAGTCTTCTTGGGTATTTATCTTCACTGTGAAGTCTTGCCCCTGGGAACTTAGAGTGGTAATGTTCATGTTGCACGTTTTGGTAGGAATAGCACTTCCATCCCTTCCCCCTCCACCTCTCTTCCCCTTCCCCCTCCCCTTCCCCCTCCCCCTCCCTTCCCCTTCCCCCTCCCCCTCCCCTGCTCCCACCCCTCCCCGCTCTCCTCCTCTGCTCCCACCCCTCCCCTCCCCTCCCCTGCTCCCACCTCTCCCCCTCCCCTCCCCTCCTCCCACCTCTCTCCCTCTCCTTCTCCCATCTCTCCCCTTCCTCCCCTTCCCCTTCCCCCTTCCCTCTTCCCTCCCTTCTCCTCCCCCTCCCGCTCCCCCTCCCCTGCTCCCTCCCCCTCCCCTGCTTCCTCCCCCTCCCCATTCCCTTCCCCTCCCCATTCCCTTCCTCCTCCCCCTTCCCTCTCCCTCCCCCTTCTCAGGTACGTGGTCCCGTGGCTTCCGCAGCATTGGCTGGCATCTCTGCCACACACTTTCTGAACTTTCCCATGTTTTACCTCAATAAATATGGCACCACTGTGTTTGCTCTTGGCACCATGCTGGGGAAGGGAGGAGAGGAGATCAAATGATATTTGGCTGAATGGAGGACAATAGCATCTGGAGGGTGTGTGTAAAAATTCACCAGAAAACTCAGGACTGTGTGAGCACCCCCTTCCCAACGAGGGGATGCTGCCCACAACCGAGGGTGGATAGTGAGGCGTTTCTAGACACACCAATTCTAAGAGACTAGAAATCAGTTTTTAAAGCTTTTCCTCAACATTCAGAATAATTTGGCTTCTTGCCATTTGAGGTTTTGGGCACCAGGAATGGTGAGAGCCTCCCTCTGCCATGGCCGGACCTCTGACCGCCCCCGATGTCCCTTGCTGGAGGCCGGACCGATGTCCCTTGGCTGGAGGTTTGGCCGGACCTCTGACCGCCCCCGATGTCCCTTGCTGGAGGCCGGACCTCTGACCGCCCCCGATGTCCCTTCCTGGAGGCCAGACCTCTGACCGCCCTTGGCGTCCCTTCCTGGAGGCCAGACCTCTGACCGCCCTTGGTGTCCCTTCCTAGAGGCCAGACCTCTGACCACCCTTGGTGTTTCTTCTGCAGCCTCCGGCCTCTCCTCCTCTCCGTCAACACCCACCCAAGTGACCAAGCAGCACACATTTCCCCTGGAATCCTATAAGCATGAGCCTGAACGGTTAGAGAATCGCATCTATGCCTCGTCTTCCCCTCCGGACACAGGGCAGAGGTTCTGCCCGTCTTCCTTCCAGAGCCCGACCAGGCCTCCACTGGCATCACCGACACACTATGCTCCCTCCAAAGCCGTAAGTCTGGGCCCTTCTGTGGGTGGGGCTGCCGGGTGGCAGACGGAGGGCAGAGCGGTTATCGCCCCAAGCCGCGCAGTCTGTCTGCAGCTGAGGCCAAGGCTGTGTGCTCCCGACGTCTTCAGGATATTGTATCATAAATCACAGGCTGAGAGAGAAATGGTGAGGGCACAACAGCAAATGGAAATAAAAAATAGCTGGGTGTGATGGCTCACACCTGTAGTCCCAGCACTTTAGGAGGCCAAGATGGGCAGATCACTTGAAGCCGGGAGTTCGAGACCAGCCTGGCCAGCATGGCAAAACCCTGTCTCTACTGAAACTGCAAAAATTAGCTGGGTGTGGTGGCGTGCACCTGTATCCCAACTACTCGGGAGGCTGAGGCACCAGAATTGCTTGAACCTGGGAGGCAGACACTGCAGTGAGCTGAGATGGCGACACCGCACTCTAGCCCCTGTGTAATGGAGCAGACTCTATCTCAAAAAAAAAAAAAGAGAGAAAGAAACAAAATGAAAAATGATAACATCTGGGACATGACCTGGAGGAGGTTTGTTCCCCCTCAGCTTCTCAAAAATCATTCATTGAAAGTTTTGTTTGAATTTACCTTGATTGGGATACTTCAGTATTTGTAAAACGTCACAGGAAAAGCAAAAAAAAAAAAAAAGTAAAACAAACAGAAGTGTTATTCTAGAGGTTTAAGATTTCGAGTCTGACATCATCAGACTTAGGATGCGCTCTTCGGAAGGGGAGCATTTCACAGAGGAGTGGGATGGAGCAACAGACCCGTGCAGCCTCCAGCACTTCCTAAGACCGAGGCAGCGCGTCTCCACAGCTTCACTAAGCACTTAAGCACTGTCCGTTTCAACACAATGGGCCCTACCGAGACCCCAGCTGTCACTGCTGGTTTAATTAGCACAGGTACCCAGTGTTATTCCAGTGCCAAGCAACAATGTGAGAGCCACATCCCTGAGTCAACCTGTATGGCTGGAACCACTCCATTCAGTTGTCACATTAGCTTCCTGGAGGATGACATAGTGCCACACACTGGATAGCTTAAAACAATAGAAATTTACTGTCTCACTGGTCCTGGAGGCCAAAAGTCCAAAGTCAAGGTGTTGGCAGGGCTACATTCCCTTCAAAGCCTCTAGGGAGGGTCCTTCCTTGCCTTCTCCAGCTTCAGCTTGTGACAGTGTTACTCCAGTCTCTGTCCCGTTCTCACATCGCCATCTTTCCTTTATCTTTCTTTGCATCCAAATTTTCTTTTTATAAGAACACAAGGCCGGGCATGGTGGCTCACATCTGTAATCCCAGCACTTTGGAAGGTCAAGGTGGGTGGATCACTTGAGGTCAGGAGTTCGAGACCAGCCTGGCCAGCATGGTGAAACCCTGTCTCTACTAAAAATACAAAAAATTAGCTTGGCGTGGTGGTGGGAACCTGTAATCCCAGCTACTTGGGGGGGCTGAGGCATGAGAACTGCTGGAACCCGGAGGCAGAGGTTACAGTGAGCTGAGATTGCACCACTGCACTCCAGCCTAAGTGACAGAGCGAGACACTCTCAAAAAAAAAAAAAAAAAAAAAAAAAACCAAAAAACTAAAAACAAAAAAACACACACACACAAGCTACATTGGATGAGCCTGCACCCCTATCATCTTATGCTGATTATATCTGCAAAGACACTGTTTCCAAAAGCCACCACATTCACAGTATTGGGACTTAGAACTTCAACATCTCTTTTTAGGAGACACAGTTCAATCTGTAACAACTGTTATCTTTTAGAAGAAGATGTGTTGCCGTGCTGAGAACATACCATTCCTATTCTTCTTGTTCATTCAGTTATTTTATTAAACGCAGGTGTAGCAAAGTATTGTTTTAGGTGCCAAAGGTTAAACTGCAAGGTATTGTTCCTGCCTTCTAGAGCTTACAATCTGTTCGGGAACTGAACAGTACTGGGGCGAAACAGCTCAGTAAAGGCGGAAAGCAGTTTGGCCGGGATAACAAGTGGCACAGTCGGCCCTACAGGAGGGAGAAACGGGAAAACTGCTGGTCGGATAAGGACGATGACGGCCTCAATGCATGTCACCAGCTGGGCTGAGCCTGGAGTACTGTCAGGGTTTACCTTAAGGGAGAGGGAAGGGAGAACCTTCTAGAAAAGAAAATTAGGCTTTGACTAGAGATCAATGATTAGAATAACCCCATTCAAGAAGAGACAGTGGTTTGACGAGAAAACTACGATTTATTTGAGATCATTTGAAGTGATGGTGACAGTTGCAGGGCTCTTCCGCGAGTCCCTGATGTTTCACGGCAGCAGCTTTGTGCTGGGGACAAGCCCAGAGCCTTCCCAGTTTAAAGAAAAAAGAATCCAGGGAGTGCTCTGGGTTTGCCGTCAGCTTCCTCCCCGGGAGTGTAACAGGAAAGTGATGTTCTTAACTCTTTATAACCCAACTGTTTATACCTCACACAACCGTGCAGCCCTCGGTCAAGGTCAACAAGTATAGGTCCTTCTAGGCTTGCCATGGTGGTCAGAGAGGGAGTGTCCTGGGGTCAGAGGGGGAGTGAGTGTGCTCAGCTGTGTCCCATACTCAGCGGCTGACCCAGAGCACGTGCCCTGGGCCAAGCACGCGGCTGGCAGCAGGAGTGTGCAGTCGAGTGAGATTTCAACAACAATCCAAATGTCGTGAATGGGTAAACAAATGTGGTGTATACAGATGATGGAAGAGTACCCAACCTTACAAAGGGAGGAAGTTCCGACACAGGCAGTGACAGGGAGGGGCCCTGAGGACCTCGTGCTGAGTGAAATCAGCCAGGCACAAAAGGACACGTACTGCGTAATGCCACTTATGGGAGTCCCTAGAGTCATCCAAACAGAGACAGAAGGTAGAATGGTGGGTGCCAGGGGCTGCAGGGAGGGGAAAAGATGAGTTAGTGTTTTACGGAGACAGAGTTTCAGTTTGGAAAAGTGAAAAAGTTCCGGAAATGAATGGTGGTGATGGCTGCACAACACTATGAATGTATCTACTGCCACTGAACACTTGAAAATAGTTCAAATGGTGGCCGGGCACAGTGGCTCACACCTGTAATCCCAGCACTACGGGAGGCCGAAGCGGGTGGATCACGAAGTCAGGAGATCGAGACCATCCTGGCTAATACGGTGAAACCCCGTCTGTAATAAAAATACAAAAAATTACCCGGGCGTGATGGCAGACACCTGTAATCCCAGCTACTTGGGAGGCTGAGGCAGTAGAATCACTTAAATCCGTGAGGCAGAATTTGCAGTGAACCGAGATCGCGCCACTGCACCACTGCACTCCAGCCTGGGTGACAGAGCGAGACTCCTTCTCAAAAAAAAATGAAAAATAGTTCAAATGGTAACTTTTATGTATATTTACCACCATAAAAGGAACGACCTGGTCAAGAGTCCAATTTTTATATCATTTGAGCTTCTGAAAATCAGGCTGATGGCCCAAGGCTCCCCACTTAAATTTTGAAAGAATGTGTTTCAAGGAGGGGAAGAGAGTGTCCCCTTTGGTTACCTGATGGTAAGCAAGCCCCTCACCCCACTTGTAAGTTTCAGCCCTCAGGCCTGCAAGGGCTGCCTTTGCCTGCACCGTTCACAACCTCTGTGGCCACAGTTTGGCTCAAGTTTGCCCTTTCTGCTTTCAGTGTCCTGGCAGCACGTTAACCTGACTACTCGGCAAAGACTCTGCTTCCAAATAAGGTTGTAGTCACAGGTACCAGCGCTTAGAACCTCAACCTCTTTTCAGAGGACACAATTCAACCCAAAACAGTTGTTATCTTTTGGGAGAAGATGTGTTTGGCATGCAGAGAACATATCATTATGTTCTGGCAGCAGGGTGGGTAGTGGTTTCAAGTTCATAGAAATTTGCTCCTTTATAATTGGATTTTATCAAGTATCTTTAATTTATGTGGTAAGTTCCTTAGGAGCTTGGCTGATTCTGTTAATTTGGCTACCAGGATAATCTCCATGGAGGAATGTGAGTTACTTAAAGACTTTTGATGGTCTGAAAATATTTAGATATAATTTATCTCTGCCTTTTGTAATAAAAAGATACTTTCCGTAAACATGGACCATGAAGATCATTTTTATAAAATCTGTTCCCATGAATTTCATTCTAAAATAGGGAAAGGAATGGAGAAAATTAGTCTTTAAAAGACAGCACTCTTTTTCTTTTCTTTTTCTTTTTTTTTTTTTTTTTTTTTTTTGAGAGAGTCTCCCTCTGTCACCCAGGCTGGAGTATCTTGCCATGATCTCAGCTCACTGCAACCTCTGCCTCCTGGGTTCAAGTGATTCTCCTGCCTCAGCCTCTCGAGTAGCTGGGGCTACAGGCATGTGCCACCACAACCAGCTAATTTTTATATTTTTAGTAGAGACGGAGTTTTGCCATGTTGGCCAGGCTGGTCTCGAACTCTTGACCTCAGGTGAATCTGCCCACCTTGGCCTCCCAAAGTTGCTGGGATTACAGGTGTGAGCCACCACGTCCGGCCAACAGCACTCATTTTATCATGTATTTATTCAGCAAATACCTATTAAGCAACTTATGGGCCTAAAACTGCTAGCATGGGTAACAGGATGACAAATCTGTGAGCCCTGCTGATGGGAAAAGGTCAATGTATGTTTTACTTACCACTTGATTAACAGCTCCGTGCATTATGCATAGGAAGGTGTCAGTGAATACCTACTAATTGAACAAAGGAAGGAACTTTTGTTTCTTTGGGAAGAACAGACAGGTAATTCATTACAATGGAGTGTGATAGAACCCGTTCCGTTACTGTGGGAGGAAACCCCATCCTATCTGTGGAAGAGCTGATCCCAGAGGAAGTCAAACTTGTTTTCAGCAGGGAAGAGCAATAATCAGCTCTGCATTTCAGGATGATCCCCTAACTGGGTATGGAAATTAGATTGGATGTGGTTAGAACAGGAGCCCAGACGAGATGCAGTGTGAAATAATCTAGGCCTGGGTAGCAGCTGAAGGTAGAAAGAAA